TAATTCGTTTGTCCTTTGGTGGAATTTTTAATTTGGCTTTCCAACCTACATCGTCCATTTTGTCTATATCCGATTTGGGTGTCAAACCGGAATTTAAGACATGATTGGAATTTATGTGTGCTTCTGTCATCATTTTGAAAGTGATGAAATATTTTTATTTCCTAAAAATAAGTCATTATTTGTAAATAGATTATAAATGTTCATGGAATTATCCAGATATCGCTTTAACTGCTACTTAATATTTTATAATTTCACATATTCTTCACGTCACCAAATAATTTTATCACGCTATTTTTTTCTTTTTACAAATCTTGAATTATATCTATTATATTTAGAAATATTATACGATATTTACCCAGTAAATCAAAGAAATTAGAAACTTAAATGTGCAAGTATCGCGTACAAGTTACACAGCTTATCGACTAATAAGACAAAAGGCAAACAGCAAACTCAAGTGACCTACTGGAAAGACCACAAGAGGATGTAAACATTATTTCTTCTCTCATTGGAGCTGTACTAGTTTTTATGTGTTATACCTTAGATGGGTACGTATATAGGAATTCTTGTTATTATTCGTTACAGAAGTTGCTCATAAAAAATTTGAATTGTGGAAAGCCTTTGGACTCAATAATTAACCATATGTATGTGTATATGTATATGTATATGTGTGTATATATGTATACATATATATATATATATATTACACATGGTGTAATATATTAGTGTCTACAATGCACACGTTTCAATTTGTAACGAAATCTGACTATCGCAATAACGTTTGTTTGAACAATACACGGTATTTAAATCAATAAAACAATTACCCCATACTGTAACAGTTATAAAACATTTCGCAATCTTTACGTAATTTCTTGTTAATATTGAAAACCGTTACATCCGATTATTTTTCAAATAAACAAAATCCGAGAACGGAATTTAAGCACGTTGCATTCGTACGTGAAAAAATTTACAACTACCAGGAAAATTCACACAAGCTACAACATATTCAATTTGGTATATGTATGTATCGGGAAACGCACAATATTCCAATTTCGTAGTAGTATCAATCACGATAGAATTATACGATACACTTTCGAGAAGTTAACGACGCTCCGTAATGGAACATCAATTTCCAGACTTTGGATCATTACTATCAGACATACTTACACCAGATGAAAAACGGAGCAGCGAAGTTTTTACTTTACTCGCGGAGAGTTTTCGACTGTGCAAAGTTAATTCACGACACCGTGGAATCGAACGGCTTTCTCGGAATAAATTAACGGCAGAGAAAGATGCGCAAGATTATTATAAATGCATAATCACTCGTTTATCGAGGTATCCACAACTACGAAGCTACTTACCTTGAAATGGATGGATATCGATGCTGAGCTGAGCACTCGATTAGGAAACAACACGCCAAAATGGCCGTTCCAATGTCAAGTTTTCTTTGCAGTGCTTAACCGCCGTATTTCTTTTACGAAGCACTAACACGGATTAATAGCTCGGAAAGTGTATCGCGTAACACGCGGCACTATATAACGTTCTTTTCCGTTTGTAATATGCGATTAACGCACTGCGTCAAATGCGAGCGATAATTATTCTTCGTTGAACGTACACGACATGCGCCATGAAAGAATAAAAACACTCAGACCAGAAACCGTTACATCGTCGCGCGCACTCTGTGGATAATAACGACCAATTGCGTGGCACGGCTTTAAGGCGCATTCTCAAACCACCGTGCTCCGCATTGTCCAAACAAGCATTACACACGTACGTACGTTGACCGTTACATCGATATTTCGAATTAAAATAATCAATATTTAACGGTGAAACAAGAATAAAATGGAATCTTTTTAAGAACAAGAAAATTAATTACCGGTTTGAGCAACAATCGTATTCCTTGAACACAAGTCCTACTTTTTGAACACGTGTCTCGTGATCGAAATTCTGCTTGGAGGGCATCACGTAAACCGTATTGGGGAGATCTTACGAAAATTATTTAACGTACACACTTTTCAAATTTAATACTATATAATCGATAATTTAAACATTCTTCTCCTCTACGATTTTTTCGCAACAAGAAAACACTTATTTTAAACTTGGATCGGATACATTTGATAATTAATGGACTATGAATTTTTCACATTTCTGACAAATACGTTTAGAAAAATAGTCTTTTATACGTTTGATACACAATATCCATAGAATTTTATTAGAACAACAACGTAACAACAATATGTATTCAAATTTTATAATATTGATTAACAAATATATTATATTACACCCTCCTATACACATGGAGGGTACACATGTATATGGAGCGTTTCTATCGTATAAAATCTGTATATATTAGAGAAGTAAAATTCACAGTTTAGGTGCAGTTTTGCTCTCTTCTTTGAGATATCCTATATTTTCTACACGCTTCGGGACAATGTCGTTCTAGATATCGTCTTTGGGAGAATGCTTTAAAACACTCTCCGCATCGCCATTGCCATTGATGGTGATTTCGTGTTCTTTGATGCGCACGTAAATTCGATCTAGAAAATGTACATATAAAATACTGTAATAAAATGAAATATTCGTTTAGCACAATTATATTAATAAATAATTAAATAATTATATTAAATATTATATAATTTATTATTAATTATTATTATTATATTAAATATTAATAAATAATAAAATTACCAGTCATAAATTGACTCGACGAAATATCTAATCTACTATTGGCTGATAAAGTCGATCTATAATTACGAACTATAATAATAAACGATAATAGTATAGAATAATTCTTTCGTAGCTGACTAATCGATTTAATTATTTTCTACGATTCAAGAACTTTGCTGATAAAAATAAATCGATAAAAAATTAATCAATAATTACAAACCGTTTCTCTTGTAACAACTATACAATCGATCAAGATATTGATCCAGAATTTGCTAATTAAATATTCTAACAATGGAAACGAGATAGATGATGAAGGAAGGATTGAGTAAAAAAAGAAAGTGGTAAGTACCGATCGGCAAATGATTTATGGCACATCGGACACTCGAAGGGTCTTTCGCCAGTGTGGAGGCGCAGATGACCCTTCAGCACCCACGGACGATCGAAACTTTTCCGGCAAAATGGGCAATAGTGCATGGTTTTATTTCGTTTCCAATTCGGAGTGCTCTCGACCCCGGCGGTCTTCCCGTTGTCGAAGTACTGGTTCTGAGAAAGATCGATCGGCTTCTTGCTCGGTGTCAAATACAACGCTTTCGGCTCCGCCTGACCTTCGGCTCCGTTGAACGTCTCGTTCAAATTCACCGCTACTTTGATTCGATTTTCGGGCACATTGATCGGATACTCTAATTTTTTCGCCGCCGAGGACAACGGTGTCTGCATTCTTTCCAGGCCCTGCTCGCCGATCGTGCTCGGGATCCTCCGGTCGGTATCGATCACGGTGGGCTGCAACGATTTCTCGATCTCCGAAAAATTCGTGCTTCTCAACTCGCCGCTACTCGACGATTCTTTGTTCCGAATCACGTTGTTCTCTAAGTTCCCTCTGTTGTAGCTGTACCGTGTTACGATCGGCAGGCTCGAGGATGTCCAAATATTATTAGATTTCGCCGGATTGTCTTTGGTCTGGTGTTTTCGTTTTGTATCGATCGACGACGGCGGAATCCATGGAATTTCGGTCTCTGTGTGTACACGGAATATGTAAAAATGTTTCCTTTTCTCCCGTTTCCCATAGTATTTTACGCGGCGCTGCTCGATAATGAATCAATCGTTCCGAAACGCTCGCCGCGAGACGAATTCCACGTTCGAGATTTAATACGATTCACGCGTGCAACAATAACGGGACCGAGTTGCAGCTCGTACGATACTTTTCCATAACCATGCAACGATCTCACTGTCGTTACTTTGGCGCACTGTGCCACACGTTCGAGAACGAATAAACGGTAATTTTGTGGGCGGCTTACCTTCTGCGGGATTATCGGTTTTCCTGTATCTTCTCATGGATTTGATCAAGCAACGGGGCATGGTTTTACGGAGGCGAATTAACACGGGGCTCGGGTAGAAACAACGAAAAGTAATTAAGTGCTTGCTCGTTATAAATGCGTTGGCGCAAACCACTGTCACACGCAATCAACAGGCATTTGTTTCATCCGTTGGCCAGTGCCGTAATCCTTGAAAAATCACCCGTCGTAACGATCTTTCGAACTGTTGTATTTAATAATCGTTATAGATGCATATTTACGGTAGCGATGATTTCTATAAAAATTTCATGGAATTTTTGAAATAATTACAATTTCTATTGCCCAACGATTAAACGTATTTTGTAGAATTATTCGTATATTGCTACATATTTATTGGCTATTTAATGGCAATTCGAATAATAATTGTTATAATATACTTTACGAATTCTCTCATTGATTTTCGAACAGTTTCATAAGAGTCGAACGAATTTGAGTTTAACATACTAGAAGATGACTTGGTCGAATATATTTATACATCGTTTGTATACATACATTTCTTATGACATACCTACTTGTACGCGACGTATATACAACTGCTGATATTGGCCGAATTAAAGCCAATTAATAAATGAGCTTCAATTTACACATTTAGCACATTTCAAAGTAACAATTGAAATACAAATATTACTAATTTCAATCCTTCATCTTTTATTGTTTGTAAACCGTAGAAGGGAGACGATATTGTACGGAAATCATTTATCCTTAAAATGTAATTTTATCGTTAGCGGAAACAACATATTCGAGAACACGTTGATCCTACGGTGCCAAGAAGTTTGTTCTATGTCGAATCATTTTGTTTTTTCATATAATATGATATTTTTATGATATATTTATATGATATTTATATATTTATATTATTATATTATTATATTATATTATTATATTTATATTATTATTATTATTATTNGAATCAATCGTTCCGAAACGCTCGCCGCGAGACGAATTCCACGTTCGAGATTTAATACGATTCACGCGTGCAACAATAACGGGACCGAGTTGCAGCTCGTACGATACTTTTCCATAACCATGCAACGATCTCACTGTCGTTACTTTGGCGCACTGTGCCACACGTTCGAGAACGAATAAACGGTAATTTTGTGGGCGGCTTACCTTCTGCGGGATTATCGGTTTTCCTGTATCTTCTCATGGATTTGATCAAGCAACGGGGCATGGTTTTACGGAGGCGAATTAACACGGGGCTCGGGTAGAAACAACGAAAAGTAATTAAGTGCTTGCTCGTTATAAATGCGTTGGCGCAAACCACTGTCACACGCAATCAACAGGCATTTGTTTCATCCGTTGGCCAGTGCCGTAATCCTTGAAAAATCACCCGTCGTAACGATCTTTCGAACTGTTGTATTTAATAATCGTTATAGATGCATATTTACGGTAGCGATGATTTCTATAAAAATTTCATGGAATTTTTGAAATAATTACAATTTCTATTGCCCAACGATTAAACGTATTTTGTAGAATTATTCGTATATTGCTACATATTTATTGGCTATTTAATGGCAATTCGAATAATAATTGTTATAATATACTTTACGAATTCTCTCATTGATTTTCGAACAGTTTCATAAGAGTCGAACGAATTTGAGTTTAACATACTAGAAGATGACTTGGTCGAATATATTTATACATCGTTTGTATACATACATTTCTTATGACATACCTACTTGTACGCGACGTATATACAACTGCTGATATTGGCCGAATTAAAGCCAATTAATAAATGAGCTTCAATTTACACATTTAGCACATTTCAAAGTAACAATTGAAATACAAATATTACTAATTTCAATCCTTCATCTTTTATTGTTTGTAAACCGTAGAAGGGAGACGATATTGTACGGAAATCATTTATCCTTAAAATGTAATTTTATCGTTAGCGGAAACAACATATTCGAGAACACGTTGATCCTACGGTGCCAAGAAGTTTGTTCTATGTCGAATCATTTTGTTTTTTCATATAATATGATATTTTTATGATATATTTATATGATATTTATATATTTATATTATTATATTATTATATTATATTATTATATTTATATTATTATTATTATTATTATATATATATATATATATATATATATATATATATATATATATATGATGATATATATATTTATATGATATTTTTTTCATTAATATGATATGAATATTCTTGTACGACGTTCGTCACTAAACTTGACAGCAATCGGTTCAACTGATCGAATATAGACGTTATAGCAACTATCTTTGTTTGGAAATGGCCTGATCTGAATAAACTTCCATTTGCTGTAACATTGAAAATCGATAGGACGGTGAGAATGAAATAAATAAACCGTCTTCGTGAATGAATAACAAAAATGATCGATGCAAATACATTCGCGGAAAATGAACGACAAAATATTTTCTGATTATATGTAGCGTAACAAATTTATATGCTGTGACTACATGCTGTTACACGAACGATATAGAATCTCGATCGGTATCTGTATCATACTGTCGGGAGAACTACCGTGTTTACGTATATTCATGGAGACAACGTCTTCTATAATTTGGCTGCCATCCCTGTATCAACCTTTAGTATTTCGGAAACAGTCATAGCAGTACAATCACGGATCTAACAACTTCCATACAGCTCCAACATTCGAAGTACTTCTGAGACACAGATACATTAATTTATATGGTGTAAAATATCTTCGTAAGTATGTGCCATTGATTAACACGTTTACCGTTATCTAACAAAGAACAAATTGTTCTAGATTATTTATCGTTCTTATACATCCTCCTTCTACGTTAATTTCAAAGCTTTCGTGTAACGGAAATCGTATCGTAATAATTTTTTTTACAAGCAATTCACAATACGACGATCGATTATTCACAGTTTTTGCGCTGCCGGATAAATATAACGATTAGCTTTGATCTAAATGTCATAAATCATGCTCGACGTGTTAAAATGGCCGACTCGGTGCTGTGATTATGGAATCTTTTGCAATATTTAGACAACTGTATATCATAAAATGATAAATATAAATAACAGAGTGGATTTGTTACAGATCATGTGTCGCCATTTCTTCGCTATTCTTTTTCTAAACATTGCGTTCGATCGTATCGATTCTACAGGTAATTCGTTCGATTATATTCCGCTTAATTTTATGCACAAGTTTACCGCTGCTACCATTGTTATTCTTATTTGTTTTTATTTTCGACATTTAAGCGACACGTTGCGACGAACCAGAATTTTTCCGGTGCGATACGAAATGTATGTCGTCCATATTTCTTTGCGACGGAGAAATCGATTGTATCGATGGATCCGACGAGAACAATTGCAATGGTATCATGGTGAGTGTTTTGCATTATAAACTATTGGATTTGAGATATAAGTTATTTCGAAACGCTGTGCAGCTCTTAAAAGCTTCCCGAACACCGATTCTACTCCCACGATATCACGGTGATCATTATTTAACGCGTATCGACGCAATAATGCACGTTCACCGATCGAAACGAAAATACTAAATGTGTTAATCAAATTGCTGAGAGTTTCTCAATTAATTAATCATACGCGTAACTAAATGGAGTCAACAGAAAATTATTGCGATATATTCGATTTCATGTTTTTTTTTAATTTTTTCCATTAGCCTGTCTTTTCTGCGGTCAAATGTGCTACGGATGAATTTCAATGTGCCAACAAATCTTGCATATCGATCGAAAAATTCTGCGATTCGAGACCGGATTGCGCCGACGGAAGCGATGAATACGCAAATTGCGTAAAAGAGGTAATTTCTTCGAGTCCTCGTTTTGGATCTTTTATCGAGGACGATCTAAAAAATGATTCGAGAAGCTTCCTACTATTATTACACGCGATTTGAATGTTTAATGCGTCGATTGCCATGTGGAAATGTCGGATATAAACTTGTCACAGGGACCGTTCATTTAAGCCTTTTACAATTTGATGAATCCTAATGAAATTCTAGATCTATTTTAGATCCGGCAGATCCTAATGGAATTTAAAAATGAATTTTTAAACAAGAACGAAGAATCGCGCCACTTACGTTACTTTTAGTCAGATCTAGATAATGCGGTACGACGAAGAGTCGTGCACATTCCATCGATCGTAAAATAATTCTTTTGGAAACAGGTGAAATGCGATAAATTTCTATGCAACGATGGACATTGCATAAGAAACGAATGGGTCTGCGATGGTGTACCAGATTGTCCTGACACCAGCGACGAACACAATTGTGGTGAATTTCACGCGACAGTACTATGTGTAATTATAATAGACCGTGGATTTTGTGCGCTTACGACAAAAATGAATTGAACAAATATAAAATTGTAAGCTCGTTGGAAGAACTTGTGGATATCGTTACATTATATTTTCAACTTATTATAAAATTATTAAAGGCAAGAAGACATTTTCAATTAATTCGAGCTTCCTACAATTAATTGAAACGATTTTTATTTTGCATAAAGATCCGCCGTCTTTATTAACCAATTATCACCCAAATGCTAAGAAAGCGGTCTTGACCGCAATCTCATTTTCGGTGTCGGTGGCTATTTAGCGAGCGATAACTAACTAGGAAGCGCACTGAATTCTCCAGTCTGAATGCTACTATAAATGCACGAAGACCCGCGGTCGAATTATTGCTTTTATTTATTTTTCGTAGAAAGCAAACCGGTACCAATCGATAAATGTACCAACGCGTTCGATCGGTACTTGTGCGAAAATCGGAGGTGTATTTCTTTAAATGCAACTTGCAACGAAGAAGACGACTGCGGCGATGGTTCGGACGAAAGCGTCGACGATTGTAGAACCGGTGATTGTTCATACTTTTTTTTTTTGATAATTATTTAACGCGTCCTGCGACAAGTTGAAACAAGTTTGACAGCGATTAAATTGAATTTCCAGCTGATTCGATTTGTAATAACGGGGTCGAATGCGAACACCATTGTAGAAGGACACCTCTAGGCGCCCAATGTTCGTGTCGGCCAGGTTACAAATTAATCGACAATCGCACATGCGCAGGTAAACGATTATTAGTTGAGAAAAAGTAGACACGCGTGTATACAATAATTGCGTTCACAATTTTCACCATTCGCTTCGCAGATGTAAACGAGTGCGAAACTTATGGTATATGCGATCAACTATGCACCAATACTCCTGGATCTTACTTATGTTCCTGCCAACATAATTACATTCTCGGTAACGATAACAGAACTTGCAAGGCCGAAGGTATGGAAACGATCTTATATACGTATAACTTTTAAGTCGGAAAAGATAATTTCCGATTAGGTCCTGGGGCAATCGTAACTATTATTTCGGATATTACCGGTCCCTGCGTTATTTATAAACATTGTTTATAAACGATATCATCGTAATCTAGATTACGATTTACTCTGCACAGGTGGCGAAGCTTTGATCGTATATTCGGTGGAGTCTGAAATCCGTGGTTTGTATCTCGATTCGAAGGTACACTTTCTGCTGAAAGAGAATTTGGAAAATGCAGCTGCAGTCTCCTTGGACGCCGATTGCATATATTGGTCCGATATTAAAAATGGGAAGGAGGCGATATTTCGGAGTTTCGAGGGTGAACTTGAACCGGAAGTCGTCGTAACTTTCGGTAATTAACATAAATCCGAGCTAATTTAACCGACGTTGTTCGACGAGAAATGGAACGTTCGTTCGGACAGCACGAACGTGCAGATATTAAATTAAGACTTCTTTTATGTTCGACGCTGTCAAGGCCTAAATAGGCCCGAAGCTATTGCAGTCGATTGGATAACAGGCAACCTATATTTCACTGATAGCCATCTCATGCATATCGGAGCTTGTAACAACAACGGTACCTATTGTACCGTCGTGATCGAAGAAACAAGCGATAAACCAAGAGGCTTGGCTCTCTTACCACCGAGTGGGTAAGAATTGTACATCGAGTACCATACTCTGTGAACTTCTTCTAAATTCTAAATCGAAGCGACCTCGATACCGTGCGAAATTCTATTCTCGCATCGCGACATAAACGCGCATTGTAATTTTTGTTGTTGTCAGTGTTATGTACTGGACGGAATGGAGCGTGAACTCGCGTATATCAATGGCGAGCATGGACGGAAAGAACAACAGTCTGCTGGTCTCGGAAAATTTAGTATGTCCGAATAGTTTGGCTATCGACAACGTAAATGGCAGACTGTATTGGATGGACGGTAAATTGAAATTAATCGAATCGATTCGCCTGGACGGCTCCGATCGCAGGGTACGGGCGATGCTTGATAACGATAGCGCAATTTTGACGATACGATAATATTCGAGATTCGTAATTTTGCAGATCGTGCTGCAAGCTGTAGGAAAAACGCCTTTCTCGCTAGCAGTTTTCGAAAACAAGCTCTATTGGAGCGACAGAGCATCTGGAACCGTACGATCTTGCGATAAATTCACTGGCAAAGATTGGAAAACTGTAATAAACGCGTCCAGTGCAGTTTATGGAATAGATATATATCATTCTGTTCTAAAACCCAACGTGAGTTCTATGTATAGTAAATTCTCCCCAACTTTTCCTCGGTTTGTACACAAAAACGAGGAGGCGCGATTATTCGAGTCTCGCGGCTCGTTTTTATTAGTCGTCGATAATCGTATCTCCTCTTCCCAAATTGTCGTATCGTAATTTGTACTTGCGACTTCGTTTCTAATGTCTGTACAACAGATTTCGAATCCGTGCGAATCGAATGCTTGCTCGGAACTGTGCCTATTGAATCCAGAACACGAATATACGTGCGCTTGCACGTTGGACAAAGAACTCGACCCGGATCAGCATACGTGTCGCGGTAAGTCGTATCATTGAACTATTTGGAAACGATACGATTCGTTCTCGAAACAAAAACAACGATGAAAATTTTAGCGGTCAACGAACAGATGCGCCTGATCGTCGCAGCAGGAGATACGTTTCTGGGCCATCGAATTGAATCATTAGGAAAACCTAAAGTGACCTCGAATGTCGTATCGAAAAATATCACTTTGGCTGCGTACAATCCTCTTACCGGTAAGTACGACTAGCAATTACGATAAATTCTCCCTAATTCCCCTTCAGCTTGTAAACAAAAATGGACAATTCTTCTCTTCCCAAATTGTCCACGTTTGCTTACGAGCTGGAGGGAAATTAGGGAGAATTTATCGTAATTGCTGTATTCTCGGAGTAACAACGCGTTATCTCCGAACAGTTCCAAGCTGTTGATTAAAAAATTTGTGCAGATGGTTTGCTCGTGGTCGCGAACGATCGGTTCACGGATATTTTTGAATTGAACACGAGTACTGGCGCGCTGGAAGCCATAACGTCCATCGAGAACGTGGCATTGGGCGGAATGGATTTCGACTACGTCGGGAATAATATATACATGTCGGATACAAGTCGCAGGATGATCGTGATTTACAATTTAAACACCAACGAGAAAACGGTTCTGTTCTTCGAAGAAGAGCCGCACGCCATCGCTCTCGTTCCAGAAGAAGGGTAATCGATCGACTATGGCATCGAAAAAATTCATTTAACCGAGTACATTACAGAGTTCATTCTCATCACCGAGCGATACCGACATTTATATAGGATCATGTTCGTTGTCTTCCGCGTGGATGGCTCGTATCGCATAGATTTAATGAAGATTCATGGAATCGGTCCCAGGACTCCGATCGAAGGAGCGAAAACGCGATTGCTTGGACCGACGGTGGCATTGTGTTATCACAGAGGCACGAAACGTTTATTTTGGAGCGATCAGGGCACAGGTCGTATCGGTAGCACGACGACGAAGGGTTGGTAATCTTTTTCCATTCGAAACAGAATTCGATGGAACCGATTCGAGCGTTAATTCGGCGATTCGGCTCTCTGTTCGAAGGTTTCGAGACGCGCATCTTCCGCGATGGGTTAGCAGAACCTGTAAGCCTCGCTGTCGTCGGTAATTACGTGTTCTGGTCGCAGTACAAGTCGGCGGAACTGTTCTGGACCAGTATGATCGACACGGAACAGCACCGGAAGAGTATCGCGTCGCGTAAGTTGCATTCGAGGATGCTGGGGCAGAAACGAAATTACCGTCAGCGGTGACATTGGCATTAGCATCGGCATTTTCTTTCAGATCTGCCAAAAGGTTTCGAAAGATCTCGGCTGATAAGTTTGGCCGCGGCGCACGAGAATGATCACGAATGTCGCAGAAATAACGGCAACTGTTCTCACGTGTGCCTGGTCTCCGATCTTCGTTCGCACGTAAGTCCGATTCGTGCTATCGGATTGGATTAAACAAAGTCGGCTACAGTCTTTTCATGCCGGTTTTCACAAATTTGCAGATTTGTGCATGCCCGCCAGGCGCGATGCTGCTGGAGGACGATCGAACGTGCGCTCCTGAAACCTCGTGTTGGCCCAACGAAATGAAATGCCGGCAACACGATGTGTGCATAAAATTGCATCAAAGGTGCGAGAATTTGCGTTATTTTAAAACAAATATATAAATATTTTTCTAGTCGTCGACGATCGGTAATTATAAATATACCGTTCCAGATGCGACGGCGTAAAAGATTGTCCGAACGGCGACGACGAGTCGGACGTGTGCGACGAATTTCATTTATCGAAATGCGTTGGGGACGGTCAATTCCGATGCAAAAGCGGAGAATGCATAAGCGAAGCGTCTCGCTGTAATTCACGCTTCGAATGCCGAGATATGTCCGACGAGGAAGGTTGTCAAATAAAACGAAACGACTGTAGTAAATTCGAAGCTACGCTTAAAAAGATCGCTGATCTTCTTAGAACAATGTAACACTGGCTGTGCACGTATTGTATATACGAAGAAGAATGCAATGTAAATTTGGCGAATAATAAAAAGGCTGTTTTAACGACGATAGAAATAAAACCGATCTCATTTAATCGTCTCAAACGTTCCGAGAGGTTACCGAGCAAAGCGTCGAATCGCGAAAGCGTTTAATTATAGAAACGATTAATACCCGTGCAACGAAGGTGATTCACCGAAACAAGTGCTGGACATTAACAAAAGGTCGTGAATTAAAAGTCATCTTCGATGAGCGAAACGACAATACCGAAGATTTAGACGGGCTAAGGGCTTGAGAGAACTCGGGGATCGTACGTTTAATTATCAGAAGCAAATGAAATTTATTAAAAAATCACACAACAGAAATAAAGCTATTTAATGAATCCCATATTTGGTTCCCGGTTATCGTTCTCGAGCGTTCACTTCAATTGCTGTTGGATCCAGGGCAGGAAGGAGGATACTCTGGTGAAGACATCTGGGTATCCGATACCGCAAGGGCGACCGAAGGAAACGATACCAACTTGAACTTCGCCGCTGACAAGAGGACCGCCGGAGTCACCCTAAAACGAGAGAAAGAAATCCAATTAGAGAGTATATCCATGCTTCACTCTCTTATCTCTTCAACGGAGACTTCTATCGACGCAAGCTCGATTCTTTCGTACAAATTGCAACTTAGAATTTGCATCGACGTGTCGTACCGGAACGATAACGAAATCGAACTACGTACATCGACGGACAAACGGTAATGTTTTGCCGAAACTCTAAGGAAATATGAAAACTATTATTCCGCGTATTATTTTGGTAAATTTAACTTACGTGGCACGCTCCCTCCCCGGATTTGGTGAAGGTGCAGATGTGGCTGTCTTTCAAATTCCAGTGAGTTTTCTTGCACTGCGCCTGCGCGTAGATCTTCAAGTCGATTTCCTGGAGATTGTCGGGCACCGATCCTCCGTTCTGCGAACAAAACGATCGGTGAGCGACTGTTCTTCCGTACGAATCGGTCGAATCGTTACGATTTATTCTTCGAGTCGGAATATGCTTCGAGAAAACTTTCCGAATGTATTTAATCAAATTAATTTTAATCATCGGGGTTTCGATCGATCGAAACATCGATACCGACCCTGGTGGTTCCCCATCCGGTCAAGACTACTCCGGATCCCTCGGGAGCGTCGACAGCGGCCAGTTTGATCGGCTGAACCAGGCTGTTGAAAGCGATAGTCTTCTCCACGCGGATCACGGCTACATCGTTAACGATCAGCATGGAGTTGTAATCGGGATGAGCAGTGATCTTTTCTACCGCGTAGACGGATCCACGGGCGCTAAGTAGGTTGGTTCCAGCTTGGACGGAGACGACGCTCACGTCCTTGATTCTGTGGACATAGAACCTCTCTATGTATGCTTTCCGATAACCGAATTCCGATTACCAAACATCGTAGTCAACGATTCTCGGTCGAGTGCACCACGATTCGGATGGATCCGTTCGGTTGAGATAAAACTCTGGTCGTCCGCTTCTTGTACATCCGATACAAAAAATCCCGATCGATCGTTACCATCGATAATCGTTAGACTTCCGATCTCGTGCATTCGTGACTCGAGTAGACGACAATTAAAATAGCGCGAAGATTAAAAACGTTCAACGCTGCCAATATATTAAGGGAGCACACGGAAGAAAAGCCATATACGTGTATTAGTTTTAGAGGTTTACATCCACTAAAACTGACGCTTTTATATCGAAGTGTGCAGTTCACAAGTGGACAATTTAGATTCCAAAAAGACTAAACGACTGGACTTCGGTTGTAGAAATATCCGTTTTGCAGTTATTGCGGAGATATTTGCAATATTCGGCCAGAGTGGTGTCAATGTCACGAGCAAGACGACGCAAGATGGCCGCCGCTAACAGTTTTTCGTAAATATCGAGAGATTTAGAGCTCGAATCGAAAATTCACAACCGAAGTCGCCGAGATAAGGCATGTACAAAGGCAGTGGAGTGTATTTTCAGTCGATTACTTAGTTAATTAAGACATACGGTTACACTGGATCTGAATTTATTGAAATAGTAGTACAAAAAAGAATGATTGAAATATCGAAGTTATTTTAGAAATTGTCGGAGATACCGAGTACTTTGTTCGACGTAAACGATCGCAGTGTATCGATTGCTACACCGAATTCGTTGTATCGGAAGAACTTACCCAACGACGCAGTGAGCTGCTGTGAGCACGTAGCGGTCGTTGATGATCGATCCACCGCAGAAGTGTCTGCCGTTGTTCTTAAGCGAAACTTGGTACGGGTACTTTCCAGCCGGGGCGTCGTGACCACCTACGATCTGACCCTCGGGGAAGCCTAAATTATCGAAATTCTCGGTTACACTCGCGACAAACTCGTATCTTCTAGGTAAAACGCGAGTAACGTGTTTCCATATATTTTTAGATTTCGAGTCAACTTTTGCCGTTAATTGTAACGTGACAATTTTTTGCAGAGCTAAATAAAATTTTATTATATAAAGATCGGTTGCTCGATGAAAATGCTCGGATAGGAAATTTGTTCTTCTTTTTATTCCATTGGATTTGAATCTTTGGATTTGTTCGCAACCGACGGCGAAGTATTTTTCAAGGATTTTTCACTTACCGTAGACGGTGACCGCCAGGCACAGCGCAAAGATGGCCGGAATGTACATCTTGGCAAGATTCGCAATACTGTAGCTGACGACTCTATCGATCAATTTATATACGCGCCCAAGGCTCAGGTTGGAGCCGATAAGGATAAAGAAGATATTGGATTTTTATCGACGAGACAATCCCCAATTACAAAGAGCAGCGTTCTCCGCGACTCGGAGATTTAATAAATCTGATTGCGAGGATAAGACAGAGTTCGCTGCATCGGGCGACTATCTGATCTTTTTATTTTCAAAGAAGGAAGTAATTGCGTAGGCTGATAACCAGCATGCAGTTTGTACAAGCTTTTAAATAGCCGGCGTACGTGACATTTTTACATTGATAATGCGTACGCGGCGATTGCACGGAAAATATTGGAAACTGATTGGAATTGAAAATTCAGAAGTAGAAGCGGATGCTGTAAATTCTCCCCAATTGTCCTTCAGCTTCTAAAGAAAAATGGACAATTTGGGAAACGAATGGTCGTATCTCCTCGATATGCGAGTATATTGTGAATAATTTATTTAGATTCTAAAATATATTTCTAAGAGATTGAATACGCGAAGTACAATATATATCGTCGATAATCATTTTGCAATTTGAATCGGAAAACTTTCTATTGATTTCATAAAAACAATTTCCCAATATAAATTAAATATGTACAATCGTAACGCGTGAAAGATTTTACTAGATTCAGATAATAAATTCATGTGCAGTCGCTTTCAGTCAGAAGTGACCCGATACTACCGATAATTTAAAGGGTTGATTAAACCTTTATTTCACATTAACATTCGAACATTCTCATTGCTTTCTCATAGCACTTTAGCGAATAATTATTTTATTAACCACTGTATAGATTGGAATAATACATCGTTATCAGCCATAAAATATCGATTCGGTGTCAAAAACTGCATAAGATGACTTTACTTAATTAGTAAAAAAAACTGTAATTTCCTGCGTGGGTAAATGCTGACGCGGAGTCTGAACGCGTTCGATAGCTTCGCAACCTCACCGTAGATGTCACCACTGACACCTTACCAGAAAGAAATATATCTTGCCTTCTCGAACTTAAAAGATTTAATTTATTTAAATTTTATTTTATTTTCATTACGATATCACCCCTTAAATAGAATTATTTGTTCCACAACCTCTAAAGAAAATATCTTCAAGCTCTCAATAGTTGCAGAATCTGAATCAGATCGTTCCAATCGGTTATTTGACCGATGGCGCGACGCGCGGCGTTAGGTTTAGCTTCGATCTTTCATTTTTAAAAGAATACTAATTGCAAATGATAAGTCGTATTCGGCAGACAAATCGTAAATACTGAGAATTTGTTTCATCGTCTGGCGAGGTAGTTGGAGGGACTAGAAGGGAGCACCAGAGAATTCGGATCAGACGTTTAATTGTCAGATGTTAATGAAATTTATTGCAATCGCATAAGTGAAATTAAGTCGATCAATTTAGTCCGCATTCGATTCCGGGTTGCATTTCTCGAGCGTTCAGTGCAATTGCCTTCGGATCCAGGGCACGAAGGAGGACACCCTGGTGAAGACATCGGGGTATCCAACACCGCAGGGGTGGCCGTAGGAGACGATACCAACTTGAACTCCGTTGTGGACAAGAGGACCGCCGGAGTCACCCTAAAACGAGAGAAAGAAATCCAATTAGAGAAGGACTCTTCAACAGCGCTATCAACGAGCACTCGATTCTTCCATACCAATTGCACTTGCAACGAAGGAAAATGGGGGAGAATTTGCTGTATTATTTTGCTAACTTCAACTTACGTTGCACGCACCCTGGCCGTGTCTGGTGAGGGTGCAGATGTGACTGTCTCTCACGTTCGTGTGAGCCTTCTTGCACCGAGCCTGCGAGACGACCTTCAAATCGATTTCCTGGAGATTGTTAGGTATCGATCCTCCAGCCTGTCAACGGAACAAACACAGTGAGCGATCGCGTTCGTCTACGAATCGGTCGAATCTCGTCCCGATCATGCTTCGCGTCGGAATATGCAGCGAGTAAGATTCCAGAATTAATTTCCTGGAATCGATTCGATCATGGGTTTCGACAGATCGGAACAACGATACCAACCCTGGTTCTTCCCCATCCGGATAAGACCACCTTGGCTCCCGTGGCAACCTTGGAAGTGGCCAATTTGATCGCCTTAACCATTTTGTTGAACGCGATAGGCTTGTGCACACGGATCACGGCGACATCGTTAACGAGCTTGGCGGAGTTATAGTTGGGGTGGTGGGTGATCTTTTCTACCGTGTGAACGTGTCCACGGGCGTTAAGATGGGTAGTTCCAGCTTGGACGGTGATGTGTTTCAGATTCTTGATTCTGCGGATACAAAGTCATAGTTGACTAATATCTAAAAAGTCTCGTACGAAAGTTACTTTCGTTCTTATTATCGGGCGATCGCTTCTGCCATTGGTCAGGGTTTTTCGTCGATAACGCGTAAACAAAGTCGACACGATGGAAGAATTGAAAAATGATGGCTTTTCAATTTATTGTCACCCGAGCCTGTACTGAAAATTGAAAAAATGCGTTTCACAGATCTCGGTAACTGCGAGCAATCGAAGGTCGCGAGAATCGCAGTTTCACAGTTCTAAAAATGTCCGTTCCGTTTTAAAAGTTGTACGAATACTTTCTACGTCACATAAAACACCGTTCAGTGTTTCTCGCTGATAACTCGTAAACGGAAGCCGCGGATTGCATTTTTGCCAAGGGAAAAGTTACTTCGAACGACCTCGGAAATCACCCTTTTCCGGGCGTTGACATAATTATGAGTTATTGGGATAAAGATTAATGTTAAAGATAGTGAGATCCTTGTGTTTGGTATCGAGATTCGGTGTCTATCGATCGCTATGCCACGATGTACCAAAGGGACCTACCCAACGACGCAGTGAGCAGCGGTGAGGATATAGTGATTGTTGACGATCGAGCCACCGCAGAAGTGTCTGCCGTTTTCCTTAAGCGACACTTGGTACGGGAACTTTCCAGCTGGGGCGTCGTGGCCACCTACGATCTGGGACTCGGGGAAGCCTACATCATAAAGATTAAATTACACTCTCCACTTTTTTATTTGTAAATGTCTGGAATTTTCGATGCTATTTTTCAGGTAAGACGGCCCTTGCGGCCCATCTGCAGGGCACGCGAGCGCTAAACGCGCGTCGACTCGAGTCGAGCAAATTTTCACTCGAAAGTCCGTTACACGGGGTGTGAGAGCGGATTGGTTATTTATGACCACTAAGGATTTTCCGACCCACAGTTTGCGTGTCTTCCGCGGTTTTTTAGTTAGTCGTCTGTGAGCAGCTTACGAGTACACTCATTGTCTCTAAGCTCTCACGAGCAAGCCTGTATATTAGATCTTGCGTTTCCGTGTGTTCAATAAATATACTTTTACCTAAAACTCTGCCTTTAATTATTTGCAAGCAAATAATCAACATTATTTCATTACTTTCTCTCTCTCTCTCTCTCTCTCTCTCTCTCAATCTCTCTCTCTTTTCTGAATGTACGCATCGTTGTTCCAAACTGACAGCGAATTATTTGCAACGATTTTTCACTTACCGTAGACGGTGACCGCCAGGCACAACGCGAAGATGACCGGAGCGTACATCTTGACAAGGTTCGCAAAACTGTAATTGACAATTCTATCGAACGATTTATATACGCGCCCAAGGTCCAGGTTGAGCCGATAACGATCATACAAATTTTGGATTATCAATAAAATAATATCGGATTACGTAAATCAATGGTCTCCGTTATTCGAGAATTTAGTAACTCCGATTGCGAAGGTAGGGCAGAGTTCAATTCGTCGAACGATTATCAAATCTGTTTATTTTAGCCGGAGGATTTAATTATGTAGACCGATAAGCAGCGAACAATTTATACACGGTTTTTAATAGTTCGTCTGTGCGACGAAATTCTAATAATAAATTCAAGTGTAGTCAAGATTTAATTGAACTAATACTTCATATTAACGCTCAAACATCCTCATTACTCTAATGATGCCACTTTAGCGAATAGATCTTTTTATTAACCATTGTAGATCGGTATAAGATTTAGCTATCGGTCATAAAATATCGATTCGGTAACAGAAACTGCACGAGACCATGAACAAATCTAAATAATCGTGTAAATAACTAAATAAGTTGCAATCGAACGTGTTCTCAGCATTAATATTTGCTGCAATGTTTTTAAAACAAAAAACAGTACGATACGAGTAAATCATAGTTCCGTAGAATTTATTTCACTCGTAGATTAGAAGAAGAAATTGATGAAATCGAACAACTAATAAATTGATTTACTTAATAAGTAAAAGGAACTGTGATTGCCTGCGTGGGTAAATTCTAACGCGAGAGGCAGAACACGTTCGATAGTTCTCCGTTCTCGCCATAGATGTCACATAGAACACCTTATCAGAAAAAATGTATTTTTTTGTGTAGTATATACGTATATCCTTCTAATTTTAATTAGATTCTTTTAAATATAATAATGCCATTTGCAGACATAATATGTAAATACCGATATTACACTGCGTCAAGTGCAAACAGTAATTAAAGCTTATATATTTCATATCCAATAGTTAAAAGAAGAGAAAAACGTTTAAAAATTGTAGCATATTTTAACATTAAATGCCTTCTCTAATTTCCTTCTCTAACTTGATACATTCAATTTGTTTAAATGCCATTTTTTATTTTTATTAGAATATGTACTCAAATAGAGATATTTGTTTAACAATCTCTCAAGAAAAGACTACTAATTGTAAACGATAAGTCGTATTCAGCAGGCAAAGCGTTAGTAGACTCAGAATTTGTTTCATTATCTGACGAGGTTGTCGGAGGGACTAGAAGGGAACATCAGAGAATTCGGATAACACGATTAATTGTCAGAAGTTAATGAAGTTTATTAAAATCGCATAAGCGAAGTAAAGTTAACGAATTTACTTCGCATTCGGTTCCGGGTTTCAGTTCTCGAACGTTCAGTACATTTGCTTTCGGATCCAGGGCAAGAAGGAGGACACCCTGGTGAAGACATCGGGAGATCCAACACCGCAGGGACGACCGTAGGAAACGATACCAACTTGGTATCCGTTGCTGACAAGAGGACCGCCGGAGTCACCCTAAAACGAGGGAAAGAAATCCAATTAGAGAAGAACTCCGAGTATCCATATTTTTCACTCTTATCTCTTCGACATTCCCGTCAACGAAGACTTAATTCTTTCGTACCAATTGCACTTAAAATTTGCATCGACATATCATACTGGACCGGTAACAAGATCAAAGTTCGTACATCGTTAAAATATTGACGGATGACGGTAATGTTTTTCCAAAAAACTCGTATAAAATATAAAATATAAAATATAAAATATAAAATATAAAATATAAAATATAAAATATAAAATATAAAATATGAAATGTAAAAACTATTTTCTCAAACTATCAACGATATTATCTCGATAACTTCGACTTACATTGCACGCTCCCTGTCCGTATCTGGTGAAGGTACAGATGTGGGACTCCTTCACGTCCGGGAAACTATTCTTGCACCGAGCCTGCGAGTAGACCTTCAAGTCAGCTTCCTGCAGCTTGTCGGGTAGCGATCCTCCAGCCTATCAATGGAACAAACACAGTGAGCGATCGCGTTTGCGTACGAATCGGTCGAATCCGTCTCGATTGTGCTTCGAGTAAGAATAAATTGCGAGCAAGATTTCAGAATTTATTTCTCGTAGAATCGACTCCGTCGTTGGTTTCGACCGACGATGAAGATTGATACCAACCCTGGTGGTTCCCCATCCAGACAAGACAACGCTGGTTCCCTCGACAACGTTGAAAGAGGCCAGCTTGATCGATTGAACCAGATTGGTGAACGAAATAGGTCCGTTCACACGGATCACGGCGACGTCGTTGATGATCCTGTCGGAGTCGTAGTCGGGATGATGCGCGATCTCTGCTACCGAGTAGACGTCTCCGTGGCCGCTAAGTAGGTTCGTACCGGCTTGGACGGTGACGGATTTCACACTCCTGAGACTGTGGATATAGAACTATTTATGTAGACTTTCTAATAACCGAAACAAACGTCCTGGTTGAGCAATATCTAAAACACCCTCGTACAAAAGTTACTAATTACTAGACGACTGATTTCATGCTTTCGCGACTTGAGCCGACGACTTTTGTAACAGCGTAAAGATCGAGAGAATTTAATGCTCTCGTCGCATTGTTCTTGATCTACTAAAGTCACCGAGGATTGTCAAAGTTAGTAAGATCGCTATGTCGACGTCGTTGTACTTAAGGAACCTACTCGGCGACGCAGTGAGCAGCGGTGAGGACGTAGTACTCGCTGATGATTGATCCACCGCAGAAGTGACTGCCGTACATTCGTAGCGACACTTGGTACGGGAACTTGCCAACTGGGGCGTCGTGACCACCCACGATTTGGCCCTCGGGGAAGCCTAAATTATTGAAATTCGGTTACACTCGCGACAAACTCGTATCTTCTAAGCATTATTAATTTTCGCAAGTCCGACGTTACCGTTACAAAAGTTCGTCGAGCCACGGAGGCGGGACTGACAACCATGACCGAGATACAATTAGCATAAACCATCGAAGTTAAGAGTAACGTGTTTCCACGTATTTTCAGATTTGAAGTCAACTTGCTGTTTGTTGCAACGTGAAAATTCGTTACAGAGCTGAATACAATTTTATTATAAAAATCAGTTGCTCGATAAAAATGCTCGGAGGCACGAATGTTGTGAACAATAATTTTGTCCAATAGGAAATTTGTTCTTCTTTTTATTCCATTGAATTTGAATCTTTCGATTTGTTCGCAACCGACGAGTGAAGTATATTTCAAGGATTTTTCACTTACCGTAGACGGTGGCCGCCAGGCACAGCGCAATAATGGCCGGAGTGTACATCTTGGCAAGATTCGCAATAATGAAGCTAACAACTCTAGCGGTCAATTTATATACGCGGCCAGGGTTCAGATCGCGCCGATTAGAAGAAACAAGATGTTGAATTTTTATCGATGGAACGATCTCCGATTACAAGGGGCGGTGTTCTCAGCTATCCGAAAATTGAGTACCTACGATTGCGAAGATAAGACAGAGTTTACACCGTCGCACGAGTATCGAATCTTTGTTTAGATCGGAATAGGACTTCGCTATCGGTCGTAAAATATCGAGTCGGTAACAAAAAATGCTCGACGAGATAAAGAAATTTAAATAACCGTGTAAATAATGAAATAGGTTCCAAACGGAATCGAAAAATTCATTCTTTTATTTCCTTAATAACTAAAATAGCACTGAAATTAATTTCATCAATTTGGTCCACGTTTGATTCCGGGTTGCAGTTCTCGAGTGTTTACTTCAACTGCTGTTGGATCCAGGGCAAGAAGGAGGACACCCTGGTGAAGACATCGGGGTATCCAACACCGCAGGGACGACCGTAGGAAACGATACCAACTTGAACTCCGTTCTGGACAAGAGGACCGCCGGAGTCACCCTAGAACGAGGGAAAGAAATCCAATTAGAGAAGAACTCCGAGTATCCATATTTCACTCTTATCTCTTCGACATTCCCATCGACGAAGACTTAATTCTTTCGTACCAATTGTGCGCTTAGAATTTGCATCGACGCATCGTACCGGAACGGTAACGAAATCAAACTTCGTATCGATGCATGGCAGACGACGGTAATATTTTTTCAAAAGTCGAAGGAAATTTTGAAAGTATCGCGTTAACTTCTTCGAATCTTCCGAGTACGGTAATGTCTCCCTAACTGACGTTCAGATTGTGCAGAAAAATGGACAATTTGGGAAAGAGGATACGATTGTTCGAGCTTTGCGGTTCGTCTTTTATCGTCAACGATTATAAAAACAAGTTGCAAGGCTCGAACAATCGTATCTCCTCTTCCCAAATTGTCCATTTTTGTGGACAATTCGAGCGTCGATTAGAGAGACGTTACTGTATTATTATCGGAAATTTAACTCACGTGGCACGCTCCCTGTCCGTATTTGGTGAAGGTGCAGATGTGACTCTCTTTCAAGTTCGCGTGGACCCTCTGGCATTGAGCCTGCGAGTATACCTTCAAGTCGATTTCCTGGAGTTGGTTAGGCGTCGATCCTCCAAGCTGTCGATAGAACAATTGGTAAGCGACCGTTTCTACAAATCGGTTCGGTCGGTCTCGTTAATTCTTCGAGCCAGAATATGCTTCGAGAAACATTTCCGCATTTATTTAATAGAATCGATTTTGCCCGTTGGTTTCGACCGATCGGAACATCGATACCAACCCTGGTCGTTCCCCATCCGGACAAGACTACCGCGGATCCCTCGGCGACGTTGGAAGAGGACAGTCTGATCGACTGAACCAGGCTGCTGTTCGCGATACGCCTGCTCACACGGACCACACCGACATCGTTGATGATCTTGTTGGAATCGTAGCCGGGGTGATAAGTGACGTTTTCTACCCCGTAGACGACCCCGGTGGCGTTAAGTTGGTTGGTTCCAGCTTGAACGGTGATGGGTCTCACATCCCTGATTCTGTGGGCATATAGCTTTCCTATGTAGACTTTCCGATAACCGAAGTAAAAACATCATGGTTGACTCTAATATCTATCTATAAATTCTCATGTAAAAGTTACTTTCATTCTTATTGTTGGTAGATCGGTTCTCTGATATGTACATGCAATTTCCACCAATTCGATCGATCGTCGCTGATTACTAGATCGCTGATTTCATGCTTCCATGACTCGAGCCGATGACTTTTGAAATAGTGCAAAGATTAAGAGCATTCGATACTCTCATTGTATTACACTTCTAATCTACTAAAGTTAAGATAGAACCTTAAGATATACGATAGAACCTACCCAACGATGCAGTGAGCAGCGGTGAGGACGTAGCGCTCGTTGATGATCGATCCACCGCAGAAGTGTCTGCCGTTGTTCTTAAGCGAAACTTGGTACGGGTACTTTCCAGCCGGAGCGTCGCGACCACCCACGATCCGAGGATCGAGGAAGCCTAAATTATTGAAATTCGGTTACACTCGCCGCAAAATCATTTCCTCCGAATTCACGCATTATTGATGTTCACTGTTCCGAAATCACAGATATAAAAATTCGTTCAGCCATCGAGATCCGGTTGTCAACCACGACGAGAGACACAGGTAAAACTGGCACAAAGCGTGGGAGGGAAAAAGAAGAATACGTTCACATATTTTAGCGTTTCCCGCAAATTTTCGTATCGTTTAATCAATTCACTGGTATAATATAAAAAGAGTTATTTGCTCGATAAGTCTTAGAAACTCAAATGGAAGCGTTATTATAAAATATTCTCAGCGACACTTAATATCATTCTTTCATTCTATTCAGTTTGAATGATTTAATTTGTTCGTAATCGACTGCGAATACTCGTGTTATTTTCAACTGACGGATAAATGTTTAATCCATTTGCACTTTACGGTATCGAATGTGTTCGCAAACGACGGTGAACGATTTATTTTATTTTGTAATTAACGGTGAATTATTTGCAGTGGTTTTCACCTACCGTGGACGGTGACCGCCAGGCAGAGCGTAAATATGGCCGGAGCGTACATCTTAGAAAGGTTCGCAGTACTGTTGTCGACAACTCTATCGATCTATTTATATACGCGTTTAGGGCTCACGTTGCACCGATAAGGAGAAACAAAATGTTGGATTTTTATCGATGCAACAACCCGCGTTTCTAGTCCGACGACAAAAGTATAATAACTTCGATTGCAAAGATAAGACGTCACTCCATCGTACGTCAGATCGTTTCGTTTTTTTCTTAAAGGAAAAGCAATTACTTCGATAACGAGCATACACTCTGTACGCGTCGTTTAATAGACGTGCGCGACGATTTCGAATTGATAGTAGGTACGCGGCGATTCCTATCGATTGTTTAATCAAGATATTGGAGGGCATAGAGAACCGATATCTGGTATAGTTTTCGTTTTCTTTGCTGTTTCGTGCGATCCAAGAGATATCTTAGACGTTGCGCATATACAGCGACAATTAGAGTCGAGCCGAAGAGAAATGCGGACAGCAAAAAAAACAAATACAATATTAAATGAACCAGCATCTCCCAGCAGCCTCGTAAAATCATCGTAGTTCGAACAAGCCGATTCGAGTAGCTCGAAGTTTTTCAAAATTCTCGGAGCGCGATGCTTGCAACGATCGAAGAGACTCGAAATTATCGAAGGCGCGAGAAGATTTATTTCATCGGCCTCTGAAAGATGCCCAGTTTGCTCGTGGACAACAAGATGAGCAAAAAGTTAGTAATGAGTGGAGCAAGCGCTGGGACGGTGTTTGCAAATCGTTAGCGCGGCGGTCCTGCTCGAGATAAGGGTTGAAAGTTCCTGGCCTATCACGCAGGTGCACTGCAAAGTAGAACGAACATTCCTCCAACAATCCTCGCTCTCTTACACGCGACAGAATCTTTTCTATGTTTCGGGGGCATTCCATTCGTCGTTCCGACGTGTCAACAACGGAGCTCTAAATTGGATGAGATCAATGGGAAATAAACGAATAGGTGCAAACAAAAATTCACGGTATCGTAAAGAAAACTGATCGATGGTCCAATTGTAATTGGCAGTTTTCGCAGTTTTAACCCACGCAATTGGCATTAACGTAAACATTTAAAGCGCTAATTTCGTGAAAATAATTTTTACGATTAGATTGCGGATTTTGTGCGTTCGTATGCAGCTACTTTATCTTGCGATTGATGCGAACAATTTTTATTTAGCAGATACATCCACCGAAAGCATCGTTTTACAATATTTATACGCGTAATAAATTTATAAATTGTAATAATTTTATTAATAATAATTTTTTTAATAATAATTTTTAGTAATAATTTTTAATAAATTTATAAATGTAATAAAAAAATGCCGTATACATTTATCCGATACATTTTATCGAGGACGGGCTTTTTTCGTAATAGAACTTCAACGGAGATTGCGCCGAAGCGTTTACCGATACTACGAAGAGCCGGTCTTGCTCAATCTGTATCGTTCACACGAGTATTTTTGTTCTTTGTCCTAAATTCACGATCCGTCGCGAGATAATGCCCTAATTAGTCATCTTCGACGCTTGCAAATCGAGAAATCAATTTATTAATCAATTTATCGTTCCGTGCCGCGAGCAAATCGTTTTTCCGATTCGAAAAATATCATTTTCACGAACTCGAGAGAGAACTATGGCGTTCGTGTATCATTTCGGGCGACGGACGCGACTATCTGGCTCGATTAATTCAATTAGATTAGAGAACGTGACTCATGGGATTCTGAACTCTCATAAAACTCGCCGTGCCGATCTTTGAAATTCCGATTTCCCGTATCGATCGAATCGAACGGAGCGACGACAACCGATCGCTGCTTCTTCGTCGGATCTAATAAAAACATTCGTCGGAGTTTCGCCTCAAGTGCGAAAACGTGGCTCCGAATTATCGGTTTAAAAATATATATTCAATTAAATCTATCTGATTCTTGTAGCAAACGACGTCATCGATTACGATCGCTGTTCGCTTCGGTTCTCCAAATTATCGCCTGCTGGAGATCGTTTACCTATTTCCTGCGGCGATCTTACGTTCGACGAAACAAACGTTTTGCAGCAACAAACTTTCTCGATTCGATTTTTTACTCGAAAAGAATCCACGATACATTCTATCGTTCGCGTTATCAGCGGAACATAATTTAGCGTACCAAAAGTATCCGAATCGTTAACAAATTATAATTTTCCTTCGCTCTGTCGGACCAATTCCCTTCTCCCAATCGGTTCCGAATGTAACAAATATAACTCTCTACTGTTCTCGGTAGATTAAATTGTCCACCGTTTCTAACCGTACAATCGCGCGAATTAGTCTGCCGGCAAGTATTAGCTCGCGATCAAAGCCGCGAACGTGTGGCTCGAGGAATTTCATTTCTGATAATTAATAATTACGATACGATGTCCGGCAGGCAATCGGGGATCTCTCAACGTTTAATGGTCGAATTCGACACGACAAGATCTCCGGATCGAAATCTCGAGATAATTTCGTAGCTGCCGGAATGCGATCTCGACGAGATAGACGAAATCACCTTTGCGCGATGCGTAGATCGATAATTAATTCGTGCGAGCTCGCGTATCCGCGCAGATAGCTTGGTGCGCGACTCGAGAGCAGGTATGAATAGAGAGCTTCGAGGGACCCGTAATATCAAACATCAACAGTCTAGCTCGTCGCGTCGTCGCGTCGTCGCGCCCCGTCGCGGCGGAGGACTAATAAGAATTGCGGTGGCAAGTAATTTCGTTCATTGTGTATTCTGCAAATGAACATATCCCGGCGTTCCTGGTAATTCTCCGGGAGCATCCGGGGGGATTTCGCCTCCCCTAGGATCAGAGGAGAAGGCGATTGCGAATAACAAGAACCCTTCATCTGCCACGAGTCTTGATCCTGTTAACGGGATCATCCGAGCACCAACGATAGAACCGGAGAAGGACCGTGAGATCGAACTAAACGCCCTTCGACTTCCCTCCGCGGCCGTGTTGCTTCGAGGTCACTGGATCGATCCATCGGGATCCGAATCTACAGGGTGTCCCAAAAATGTCTCGCGATCCGAAAGCGGCGGGTTCCTCGGATCGTTCGAAGCAACTTCTTCCTTTGCAAAAATTTTCTCCGAGGCACCGTTAACGAGTTATCGACGAAAAACAGTGACCGATGAGAGGCGAGCTCGGCTGACGCGAGGCGACCGAGCCGATGAGCGGAACCGGGCTTTGCGCGCTGGTTGGCTGGGCCGCCTCGCGTCGGCCGTACTCGATACTTATCGGTCACTGTTTTTCGTCGATAACTCGTTAACGATGCCTCGGAGAAAATTTTTGTAAAGGGAAAGGTTGCTTCGAACGACCCGAGGAACCCGCCACTTTCGGATTGCGAGACATTTTTGGGACACCCTGTATTTTCTCGCTGAAATTATAACGTCGCTCGAGCAGGGTAAATAAAAATGAAACTCGATGAAAAATGTGCGATCCGGGCAGCACGAAAACGGCCGGCAAGAGCGACGATTCGCACGGTGAAATGTCAAACGGGACACGAGGAGCTACGAGTAAGAGAATATCCGTAGAACGGTCCGCTAATCAGATTTCCCGGCGTTAGGCCAATTCGTAATGCTCGGTCACCGTATTTACATATGCATATCATTTGTCGTATCGCAGGGGAGGAGGCTCTGTGCCGGTGATATCCCACAGGACTACTCTCCATATATCCAAATCGCATTACCGCGCTGCCTATTTCGTGCTAAGGTACGTCGTGGACGATTTGATATGCGTGCACCATAACCGAGTTAACAATGCGCTATGACAGATGGTGATCCGACCGATTTTGCGGCTCTCTATCGTCGTTCCATCGACGCGTTTCCGGTCTTCGTAGACCAGCAATTCGACCGAATTTCTGCCAGGAGATTATTAGCCTGTTCGCCGAAACCGTTACAAATCATTTCGATTAAACGATATTTCGGTTGAACGATAACTTCTTTAAATACAAAAAAAAAAATACTTTTATCGTATGTCTACACTTTTACAAAAGCGTAGGAGCCTCGCACCTTTTCCACTTGTTTTTATTATCGTTGAAAATCGGCAATCGTATCTCCTCTTCTCAAATCGTCCATTTTTGTTTACGAGCCGAAGGAAAATTAGGGAGAATTTACCGTACTTAGTTTTTTTTTACAGCGACGAACCTGAAATATTAGAAACTCTTCAAGTTCGAGGGGTGGCGGTGCCTTCTCGTAAATAATTCCCGCTTCGTTCCGACTTGGCGCGGCACCAAAGCTAAAGCTCCCCAGCCTTGCAAGCGCTTCCGCGTTTCTCGGAACGGAATTGCCTTCGGAAAATGTGTATTCCCGTTTATCGTAAGAAAAAGGCGCAAAGGACGCCCGCGAGCGAACGGCCGATCCTTTCACCCCCGACTCGGATTCCTCGAAACGAAAACTCGCGGCAGTTTCTCCGGCTGTTCGGCCATTGTCCACCGTTCGGCCCCTCGCCTCGCCTCGCCTCGCCTCGCCTCGCCTCGCCTCGCCTCGCCTCGCCTCGCCTCGCCTCGCCTCGCCACGCCGCGGCTCGGCCCGGTTCGTCTCCCCGGCGTATACTTACAATTACAAGCAACGATTTTACAGCGCGAGGCCTCGGCTCGGCTCCTGGTAATCGCTGTCGAAAAATTGCCGAACATCTTCTGGAGCCTGGTACCGTCCCGAGAGATCGATGGGAATCCGCTTTGAGTCGTGGGTGCGACGACCCGAAACCGAAACCGAGACCGAAACACCACGGAGCGTCGTTTCCACGCGGGGCGACGAGCCGCGCGGCTCCTCGAGTGGGCGATGGTTATTTTTATGCCTCGTAATTATACAGTTTTCTGGCCGTTGCCTCGGAGTTTTAGGGTTACATTTAGAACGAGCCAAATCGTTTTCGGCCGCGTTTTCGCACGTGTTTCTCCCACGATCCAGGCGGCAGCGAGGCGTCCTTCGGCGCGGCGAAGAAAACCGCCATCTTATTGCTCTTGCAGCCCGCGAATGCTACCCTTTTTTTCGTGGGAGTTCGAAAGTCTCTACTTTCGGCGAATTGTTTGCAACGGTCAGCCACGCACACTCTCTTTCCCTC